TTCCCCTGTGCGCCGGGCAGACCCTCCCCAGCAGAGTCCCTGCCCCCGTTCCCCTGTGCGCCAGGCAGACCCTCCCAGCAGAGTCCCTGTGCCCGTGCAGGGGCCAGGGCAAAGGCGGAGAGTGATCAGTGTGTCCCTGTGTGACCTCCCCCACCCGCCAGCCAGCTCTGACCACAGGCCACTTGTTCTGACTCCTCAGGCCTTGAGACCTTCTGGGGCTGAAGCCGCAGCTAGAGGGGCGTTGGGTGTCACCTTCCTCTTTCCCGGGGTGAAAGGGTGGAGATGACCATTGTAGGGGGAGACAGGGCCCAGCACGGCCCCAGGCCTGCCCGTTCCCTGGACATGCAGAAGGAAAAGACCTGCTTGCAAGCCGCAGACTGGCCGTCACCCAAGGGAGACTCCCTGCCCATGAGTCCTCGCTGCCCCCACCGCTTGTGACTGCATCTCCCACTAAGGAAGGCTTTTGTCTGCATTCCTCTGTTTTCAAATTCTCCCTTTTACAGCTCCCAGAGAAGTTTGGTGAGGTTTTTTGTGATTGTGGGTTTGGAGAGGGCTCAGCTCTTTTCCTCAAGAGGCTTTTGACTTGGTGACCTCCTCCGGGCGTCCTCCTGGCCTCCCTAGATGCCCTCCCCGGGCGCCTCACCGGATGGTGGCTCCTACCTGCACCCCCATTCTAGCTGGGCTCCAGGGAAGTGCCTAGGCAGGGACACTAATCTCCCCAACCTGCAAGGGCTTCCTTCTGGGGGAGAGAGGCCACTTAGGAGGGAAGGGGTCGTTCTGGGCCCCTTTTCCCCCAAAAGTCTGGGCATATGAGGACAGCAGGCTCTCGGAGTCGGGGGAACAGGGAACCAGAGTTGCCTCGCCACCCAGCCGGGTGTCAGGCATCCTTCCCTGGTTGCCAAGAACAAGGGGTCAGTGTTTTGTTCTGCTTCTTTTCTGTAAAAACCGCTTACTGTCAAGGGGAAACGCACACATATCCTGATGGTCCTCCAAAATGGCCATCCCCCACCCATGACTTTCTAGAATCCATTTCACGGAGCATTTTCACTGTAAGCTACGTGCAGGAGTGAGCATGCAGTCAGTCTCAGGACCGGTGAAGACGATGGATGAGAATGGGAACATGGCTGGATCAGGGGCACTTCCTGACGTGAGCCATCTGTCCTTGACCTCACAGACCCAAGTTCATTCCCTGAGCCCGTGACAGCACAGCAGCAGGCTCTGAAGGCGTGAGTTGGGTTGTAGTCTCTCTGAGAAGTGCGGGACAGCCACAGGTCGGCGTGCTGGGCTGTGCATGGTCAGGACACCAGGTAATCATTTCTCCTAGACATGTGGAAGTTAGTGCAGAGACCTATCCAGTTCTGCAACCTTTGGCTCTCATAAATAGCACCTGATTCACTTCCCAATTTCTGTGCTGTACTCAGTGCCCCCCCCCCGCCCCCACCATTCGTATAAACCATGTAGAGTTTAGGACGAGCATCTCAGCTTCCTGGAGGCGGGCCTCGCAGCTGAGGCCCCTTGCACAGGCCTTCCCTGTTTGGGAACTTCTTTGGTGGAACTTCAGGGGGTACCTGGCTTTGTGGATGGAGCTGGATACAGAGCCTGCAGGCCCCTGTCAAAAGCGTTGAGGTGGGGAAGGCCTTCTCGGGTTCCGTTAGTGACCAGCTGAAATCAGGACAGACGTTTTCCGTGGCCTGGTGCCCACGTCCAGTTGCACTCCTGGTCTCTGCCCGGCCTTTGGAAAGCGGTCAGACCATGACCCTGTGCATCATCATTTGCCCCCTACAAGAGCCAGGAAGGAGAGGGATGACCTGTGCATGTGTTTGTGGCCCCCAGGAACAGACCCATCCCTGGGACGCTTGCATGACTGGCCGTATTTTCGGCTCCGGGTGCATCACGCCATCTGCTGTAGCTGCTCCTTCTGCAGCTCATCCCGGCAGATCTGGGATGTCTGAAGGACACATCCCTTCTGGGTTCACAACCGCTCCCTAACTGGATTATTTAGTGTGGTCCAAAGATGGTCGGGCAGAGGAAGCTCTCATGTTGGCGTAGAGAGAGCCAGACTATGGAATTGGCTGGACCTGGGTGTATATCCACGTTCTAGCCCTTGGCTCTCCCCTCCCCAAGCCATTTCCCCATCTGTGGATTGGGCCGGGGTGGGGACCACAGTCCCCGCCAGGCCCCTGATTCGTGCTCCACAAGCTGCTGCTGGTGCTGCGATGTTAATTTCAGGTGGGCTGTCCCCCAAAATAAGGGAACTGGAGTGGGGGGCTCTGCAGGGCTCTGCCCTTTAGAAACATTTCTTAGTGAGGGTCCCCATGGGATGCCTGAGAAACCATTAAGCTAAGAGGCTCTGATGGGAACGCCCTCTCAACCCTCCCTCCACAGCCCTGCACGGCACTCTGGCCACATTCAGTGGCTCTTGATGCTTTCTCAAGTGTCCCCAGCCACCAGGGGAAGCCCCTCTGCCTCCCCATGGGGGCCAAGCCACATTCTGGAGGGAGAAGGGGCTGGCCCGATGTGGCAGATGGAGAGAGCTCCTGCGTGGAGGAGAGGAAGGGCCGCCGAATTCCCCCACTCGATCCACTGAAGGGCCACTCAGCGTGTCCAGGCCAAGAGCCACTGGGAGGCATTTCTGGCCTTCGGGATCCCCGCGGGAGGAGACTGAAGCATCTGGTCCGGATTCCTCATCTTCCAGATGGGGAAACTGAGGCCTAGGCAGCGGGAGGGGTCTGCTCGAGGTCAGGCTGCTGGGCAGGGTGGAAATGAGGAGCCAGATGTGGGGCCGCACGCGCAGGATGCTTTAGGATGAGGGAGACCCGAGGCTCTGTGGGCTCGCAGGCGGGAGAAGCCCGTCCCTGCTCACCAGGAGTCTGGAATGCTTGGCCCCCAAAGGGTGGAAGATCATTTAGCTCATCCTCCTGCCTCCAGGCAGGGCTCCCCTTAATCATCCTGTGCTGTCCAGGAACGGCCCCGTTTCAAAGCTTTTCATGAAAAACATTGACCAATTCAGTTCCCTTTCCCGTCTCGCTGTGGCTAACGGCCTGTGGGAGATGAAGAGCAGTTGCTCGCCTTCTTTTAAAGCCAGGAATTTAGTCAATGTGTTACCAAGCCTGAGATTTACTCTTGTAATAACAGCTCTGTTGAGATGTAATTCACAGGCTGTACTAGTCCCGCGTTTAAAGCGCACGACCACTGTACCCCTATGACTACGGTCGGTTTTAGAGCACCTTCATGCCCCCCAAACCCGTTACTCATCCCCAGCCTCTCCCTATCCCCCGACACCTCCAGCTGTAGCATTTGCTCATCAATAGTTCAGTTTTTTTTTTAAGATTTTATTTATTTATTTGAGAGAGAAAGAGAGAATGAGAGATAGAGAGCACGAGTGGGAAGAGGGTCAGAGGGAGAAGCAGACTCCCTGCTCGGCAGGGAGCCCGATGCGGGACTCGATCCCAGGACTCCAGGATCATGACCTGAGCCGAAGACAGTCGCTTAACCAACTGAGCCACCCAGGCGCCCCAATAGTTCAGTTTTTTAAATATTATTTTTAATATTCGGAGACACGTGGATCCACTTCTCATGGGGGGCATGGGGTCTCGAGGGAAATGCTGGGTTTTTTTCTTTTTTCTTTTTCTCAGATTTCTGGTCAGAGGGCAGTCTCAGTGTCAAGGGGAGACCCTGGCCAAAGCCACAGTCACGCTCCCTTCAGCTCTTTCCAGATCCGCAACGCCGTGGGGCAGCCCCGAGCAGCTCCAGGCGTGCTCACCTTCACCTTGCTTCTGGGAAAAGAGCCAGGAAAAGTCAACTGCAGGGAGGCAGGGAGAGCGGGGCCCACTCTGCCCGCCGCGGCCTCCAGGGCCTGAGAGGGAGTGACTTTCACACTCCTCCTGGAGCAGAGTTTATCTGAGACTCAGGCTGCATGAGCATCCCTTGGGGGAAGACAGGTGTCCCGGCCGTCTGGGGACATAAGGGCCGAAGTGCTCTTGCAGGCTGCAGCTGGAAGTCCCTCTCAAATCCAGGTGCCCGAGGCAGCGCCGCTGTGAGCCCTGGCCTCAGTTGCCCTGGCTGTGAGATGCTCTGGCGGTGCCCAGGGCAGCCTCGAGAGTCCCGGGTGCAGAGACTGGGCTGGCATGTCCACTTTCCCTTGCCTGGGCCTCTCGGCTCCACTCTGTCAGGTGGGAAGAAGTGCGAGGACCTAGGGTTTCTATAGACACTCCCCCTTCAGGCCGTGGGGCGGCTGGGCCTGCCTCCTATAGAGTGTGTCTCTGAACCAGCATTTGGTTGCTGAGCCCGGGCTGCCTGGATTCGGACCCCAGCATGTAACCTTGACGCATCAGGCCCCCTCTGCCTCAGTGCTGGGCTAACGTGGATTCCCTTCCCGAATGCCTGCGCAGGGTCTGGAGCTCTGGCCTGTACTGGGATGGGCTGTCTTCCACGTACCCGGACTGACACGCCATGAAGGCTTGTCCCGGGGCGGCGGGAGGGGGGGGGGTGGATAAGAGGAACGGCGGCCTGGGTTCAGATCCAGCTCCTCCTACCAGCACTGTGACCCTGGGCAAGGTATTTGGACTCTATCCCTCAGCGTCCTCATCTGTAAAATGGGAATGATAATATGGAAGCCTCCCTGGGATTGTTAAGTCCCTCAGAACAAACCGTAGTAAACCGTCAACTGAGTTGGTGTCTCCAGAGGCCTCACAAAGGTGCCTGGCCCAGAGCAGGTTCTCCGTGTTAGCGATTAACAGCTGGTTTAAAATGTAAAGTTGCCTCGTTACTAATCGTCTACTGACGCTAATACCGCTACGATGGCTGTCCTTGTTAGCACTGTTCGTGCTAGAGCCTTCCAGAGCTGTGCTAACGCGTCCTTGCTCTCTCCTCCGTGCCCCCAGCCGAGCCCCTGCCGCTCATGGATCTCTGCCGCCGCTCGGTGCGCCTGGCCCTGGGGAAGGAGCGTCTGGGTGACATCCACACACTACCACTGCCGGCCTCCCTCAAGGCCTACCTCCTCTACCAGTGACGCTGCCCCCCGGCCTCGCCAGCACGCCGGCCACCTGGTGCCACCTCACCGGCCTGCCGCCGTACCCTGCGCCTCGGACCGGGATCCGGCCACCGGGAGGAAGGCCCTGCTCTTCCTCCCCATCCTGCCCGCTGCCCCTGCCGGCCACCAACAGCTTGACACAGGCTCCTCCATTCCCTGTCCCCACGTTGGCAGAAGCCCCCCCCCCGCCCCCCCGCACGCCGTGTCCACGGTCCCTCTTCGGAAAAAGACCCAGAGAACAGACTCCTAGGAAGCCCTCCACTGAGCTCCGATCCGCCCTCGGGGTGGCACGGGGATCCCCGCCCCGACCTGCCAGGTCCCGGGAGGAGGTGCCCTGGTGCCAAGAGCAGATCCCAGGGGCGCTAAGAGGTGCTCAGATGGGGGCTGGTGCTGAGGCCAGTGGGGCCCCGCCACAGCAGACAACACTCAGGACGTCAGGAACTCACCATGGACACCGAGGCAGAAGCCAAAACGGAACCTCCACAGGCACACACGAGTGCCCTGCATCGGCCCCGGCTGTCAGCCCCCCGGTACCCTGTATTTATTCTTTTCACAATGACAAAAGCCATTTATTTATTCCATTTAGAAAGGAAACCTGGTTTCATTTCCCTCTCTCCGGAGTGTTCTGTTGCTTTGCTGCCACCTGCCCCTCCCTGGGATGTGTGTGCCTCACCCGTCCCTCTCGTGGGGCTGTGGCTGTGGTGTGTCCTCACGTGGGCACAAGGGTGTCCCTGTGTGGGTCCCCGGACCTACAGTTTCCAGGGGGTTCTGCTCTGGGTTCCCGAGCACATGCAGTATGAGAGTCTTGGGGGGGCCCGTCTGCAAGGGCTGTGGCGCTCCCCGTGTCTCCAGGCAGAAGACAGACATCTTTGCACGTGGTTTTCTTTCTTTAGTCTTCTGTGGGGGGCGGGAGGAGGGTTGTGTTTGCTTTTGCTTTCCTAGCTGAGACCTCCCATGTGCATCCTCAGAAGCTCTGGCTTCCCAGAGCCGGAACTAGGAAGGGAGGGTGATGAGTGGGTCTCCAGCCCCAGGGAAGCCAGGGGCGCGCGGCGGGGTGGGGAGACCAGAGTGAGGTCGTGCCCCTCGGAAGCCAGCGCCGGCCTCCACTTCGGGCCCCCGCCCGGGCTCTGCGCCCAGGGGGAGCAGCCTCAGCTCATCCCGACCCCCCAGAGCCACACGAGGAGCAGGGTGGGGTGGGCCGGGGCAGCCAGCAGAAGAGGGCCCCTCGCGCCCTGCCACAGCTCCCCCACGTAGCAGAGCCCAGCCCCTGCCGCTGCACTCACTGCTCCCTTGATCTTGAAGTCAACTCGCTTAGAATCTGACTTCTGTTCATTTCTGTACAGGTACAATAGATGACTTTATTTGTTTAAATGTTTAATATATACACATATATATTTGTCTTTAAGAATTACGTTTTAAACAGCTGCTGTAGGGTACCTTTAAAAAACAAAGTCTTCCAGTGGAGTATATTTTTTAAAGCACAAAACTGGTGCCAAGTCTGGGTGAGGAATGTAAATTACCCCCTTATTGTTTTGAGTTTTTTTCCAAGGTGGGGGGAGAAACCTTACCTGTAAGACTTTTAAAGACTTTTCCTCACTCCTCTTTCAGGGTGGGTCATGTTCTCATGAATGTTGCACACGAGCGCGTTTTACTGACACAGATCCCAGCCTTATCGCCTTGACCCAGCGTTCTGCCATCGACGCTGGATGAATTGCGGGCTCTTGGTCATCTCTCCGCACCTCTGTCCGGGCTTCCCAAACCTCAGCCCCACCCTCCTTTCCCTCTCCGCCCAGAACCTTGTGACCTGTACAGTTTTAAAACTCCCGTTCTATTTTATGATGGTTAATAATAGTCAGTAACCTAATAAAGGAAAGTTTATTAAAATACAAAACCACTTTTGAGTCCTTTCTGTGCCTTGGGGGAAGGGAAAGGGGTGTGGCCAAGCCCCCCCCCCCACCGCCCCATCCCGGGTCCAGCTTTCAATAGAGCATGAAGTGATCCCCTGGGACTTCGTGGCACAGGGTGGGAGGCCAGCCAGAGCCCCAAGGAGGAGGAGAATCCTAGAGAGGTGATCCTAGAATGCCCCCATCCCTTTTCAGAAGTTCTTGAGCCTGCAGCCCAGACTAAGACTTTCTGAGCCCGATAGGAAGGATTCTGCCCATCGGTGAGAGCCTCTGGCTCTTCGGTATCCTACAGCTTGGGTTCACAGTGGGCTCTTTAGGGGCAGGGTAGAAGCCCGTGGGAGCATCCTCAGAGTCCAGGCTCTGCACACGTGGTAGAAGGAGCTGGTCCCTCACTCACCTCTGTGTTCCCACTGCCAAGTGTGCAGTGATGCTGATGAGCCTTCGTGGGGAACCCATTCTGCCCGCTGCTGTGGGCAGGCCCCCCCCCCTTCTTCCCCTAGCAGAGGAGACAGGAAAATCCAGCTGATTCAGAGGACTGGTGAGTGATAACGTGAATAGTCAAGACATTTACTAGATACGATCACATGTCATGACTAGTTTCCGAAGAATTGGCAAGAATGCATTTCAGCTCCCCGTGGGCCTGTCAGGATCTCACGGTACTATGAAAAGTGCCCTGGTCTGAGGGCCCAAGACCCCTCGGACCAAAGTCCCGTGTCCCCTTCTCTGCCGGCCTCCTAGCCAGCTTTCCTCAGACCACCTGCATTGGCATCCCATGGGAGGTATTGGCCAAAATGCACATTTTCTCAGAGCCCTGCCTGACATGAACCGAATCAACGTTTCTGGGGCCAGGCCAGGGATCTGCAGTTTTCTCGAACTCCCCAAGTGACCTTGCCTAAGAGAGTTTGGAGACCACTGTTTGCAACTGTGTCAGCTCTTTTTCCTGACAAGTTGCTGAGGAAAGGGAAATTCTTTCAGTGTGTTGGTGGGTTGGCCCAGCGACGAGCACAGGGACTCCTGAGTCAGACCTGGGTTCAAATATTGGCTCTGACCCCGCGCTCCCTCGCTGTGTGCTCTTGGATGAGCCTCTGTCAAATGGCAGGCCTCGCAGTGCCCATCTTGTAGGAGGGTAGCAAGGGTGAAATGAGGCTTTAGAACAGGGCCCGTCACGCTAGCAAGTGTGGAAACAAATGCTTTAAAAGCTCATGCACTTCTGTTCTGGAAAATGGCAGCCTCGGGACTGGAATTGGTCTTTGAGCATGGTGCAAACATCCCTCAACCAACTTCCCGATAAATGTTATTTCTTCTTGGGCAAAGTCTCCAAAGATCAAGGTGGGTACAGAGGAAAAGGGAGCCCTTGGATGCCTTCCCCAGATGCGTTTGGAGGAAAGGGGTGGCCCGAAAGTATTTTTCGGTTGGAGTTCATGTCTGGGTTGCAGTTGGAACTCCGCTGGCTTTGAAGGAGGTGGCAGGGGGAGGAAGGGGGTCAGGAGAGGTTGGGGGGGGTGGCAGTGGTGGAAATCCAGGGAAAATAAGACCCTTTGTACCGCCCAGAGACTTCTCGGGGAGCGGGCTTTCACGTTGGAAGGAGCAATCTTAATAAAACCATCTTGCAGACCGGCCCATGTGGTTGTAATTAATCCCCTGCCTTCGAGCAGGTAGCCGGCCTGGGGCTTGGCCGTAGATGGGAAGAGCCCTCCCTCCTCGTCCTGCCCCCGGCTTCCCTCCCACCCTTCCTCCCGCGCCTTCTCCGCGGCGAGATGAGGAATGTGGACTTTACTGAACCATAAAGTATGCCGGGGGAGCTGGGGAGGGGGCCGAAGACAGAGCAATTAGTTCATGCTCCAGTCCAGACACCCAAACATGGTTGGAGTCCAGCTGCAAGGAATATTTGAAATAAATGAGCTGCCCGGGGCCAGGAGTTTGCTGTGTTTTCTGTACGGGGCCATGGCAACCAGGGAGGAAATCATGAGCTAGGGATTGGGCTCTAGAATCAACAAATGATGTCCTGGCCGAGCAAGCCCAGAGGAAGCCGCTCACGGCTCTCCGAGGGCTTCTAAGGGCTCAGCTGCAGGCGGGCCGGACGGTCCTCCTGGTGTGCTCCGCGCACTCCTGCCCCAGCCTCGGACCTCCGTGTCCTCTTCGGGGCTCTGACCTTTTTTCTCTGTTTCTCTTTTTTTCTTTTCTTTCTTTCTTTCTTTCTTTTTTTAAAGAAAACCGAAAGCTAACCCTTCTTTGGAACCTTTCTTCCTGGGCCAGGGCACAGCTGCCGCTGCTGGTCTGATACAGATTTTGCTGAGCGGAGGGAATGTTCCCGCTGGAAAAGCCCGGGCTGAGGGCAGCTGGCTAGATGGGAGGTGGCGTTGACTTGCCCTGGCTCTGTCTTCCCGCCCGGCCCAGCTGCAGCCCCTTCAGGGTCTCCTTCGTAGGCAGGAAAGGCAAAGGCTTCATTTATCCCTCCCCTGACTCTTCTGAGGGTGGGCCTTACAGCCGTCCCTGAGATCGTATCTCCTAGAAGCACACAGAGAGCAGACCCGGCGTGGGGTCCCTAGGCTGAAGTTCACAGGCTCCTCCTGCATCGGAATCTGTGATATGGCCGCCGCACTTGCCCCCCTGGGCCCTCTTAGACCACTAGAAGCTTACGGCGAGGTGCATCGAGGTACTGGGTACAAGAACCTCCCGTACCTCATCACCCTTTTCCAACCGGCTTTTTTTCTTTTTTTAAGTTTTTATTCATTTATTTGAGAGAGAGAGAATGAGAGATAGAGAGCACGAGAGGAAGAGGGTCAGAGGGAGAAGCAGACTCCCTGCTGAGCAGGGAGCCCAATGCAGGACTCGATCCAGGGACTCCAGGATCATGACCTGAGCCGAAGGCAGTCGCTTAACCGACTGAGCCCCCCAGGCGACCTCCAACCGGTTTTTTAAAAGATTGCAGTGAACCTCAAATAACGTCACATTCACCATTTTAAAGTGGACACTTCAGTGCCATTAGCACATTCGTGATGTTGGGCAACCACCCCCTCGGCTTCCTCCCGGGGGAGACCCTGTGTCCATTGGCAGTCCTACCCCTCTCCCAGCCCCTGGCAGCTGCCAAGCTGCATTCGGACTCTATGTGGATGCCTCACACCACCTGGGCCCCCCCCCCCCCCGCCACCCAGACCCTTGTGTGATCAGAGGTCGGTAAACAAGCCTTTCCTAGGAAGGCATCTTGCAGGGAAATGGCCTGCGCCCCAGAGCCTCTGTCCTACTACATGGAAATGAGGTCAGTTCTCTAAAAACCTGGGTGCTTCAGGCGCCTGGGTGGCTCAGTTGGTTAAGCGACTGCCTTCGGCTCAGGTCATGATCCTGGAGTCCCGGGATCGAGTCCCACGTCGGGCTCCCTGCTCGGCGGGGAGTCTGCTTCTCCCTCTGACCTTCTTCCCTCTCGTGCTCTCTCTCTCTCAAATAAATAAATAAAATCTTTAAAAAAATAAAAAAGTAAAAACCTGGGTGCTTCATAATCAGGGAGGCAGAGTATGGAGCAGTGAAGAGATATGTGGCCTTGCCCCGTCTCTTTGACCCCCAATTTCCACATTGCATTAGGTTCCTGCGGGCGCTATAGTAAATTACCACACACTGGGTGGCTTAAAACAGCACACATTTCTTTTCTTATAGTTCTGGGGGCCAGAAGTCCAAAATCAAGGTGTGGACAGAGCCATGCTCCCTCCCTCCAGAGGCTCCAGGGGAGAATCCTTCCTGCCTCTTCCAGCTTCTGGTGGCTCCAGGCGGTCCTTGGCTGGTGATCATATCACTTTCAACCTCTGCCTCTGTGGTCACATGGTCTTCCCTTCTGTGTCTCTGTGTCTGTCCCATAAAGACACTCGTCACTGGGTTTAGGGCCCACCCAGGATGAAGTCATCTTGAGATCCTTAACTCAATGGCATCTGCTAAGACCCTTTTTTCAAATAAGGTCATGGGGTTAGGACGTAGACACATCTTTCTGAGGGCCGTCGTCCGACCCTCTTCACGTATCTTTTAGAACAGGGCTCATAGGGGCGCCTGGCCGGCTCAATCGGTGGTGCGTGCAACTCTTGATCTGGGGATTGTGTGTTTGAACGCCATGTTGGGTGTGGAGATTACATAAAAAATAAAAAAAGAACAGACTTCATAAGAGCACTCCCTCTTAGACTGACCACGAGGATTTACGAAATGATGAGCGTAGAGAATATACCCCAGTGCCAGGCCCGGTGAGGGCTAAGGTAAGGATTGCCCACGTCATTAACTGCACGGGCATCTGCCTTCTGCCCCCGCCTCTCATGGCCAGTGCCACCAGAGCAGATCTGCTCTAGGACTGGTGGCTGTTCTTCCATGGGGTGGGCACCCAGTCGGCACGTGGAAGCCACGGGGCCCGGCTCAGGCCAGGATGTGGGGAGAACGTGAAACTCGTCAGTGGCCGGAGCTCTTGGGCTCTCCCTGGGTGTCCCTCTGGCCAGCCGCAGTGAGCGGTCCCGGGGTCTAGGAAGGTGCGGGCAGTGCTCAGAGGTCATCCGGAACAGAGGCTGAGCCCCCAGGGTAGGATGGTGTCTGGGTGCCCATGTGCCTCCATCTTTCTTTGGGACCGGGGGCGCTAGCTCGCATCCTGCAGCCTCTCCAGCCGAGCCAGCTCCGAATTGATCGTAGAAGGAAATGGAATGTGAACCCCAGGCTATTTAAAGAGCAAGAGGGACTGGAGGCATGGCTGGGGCCCGGCCAAGCAGGGTGCTTCAGGTCGGCGCGGGCTCCTCTTTGCACATGGTTTGATTTACTGGAGGGCCGCGAGCAACTCCAGCTTCAGACAGAGAACTATTTGAAGCAGCTGCCAGATGTTGTGTCTGAGTTGGGTTTTTACAACTTGCTTACTGGTTAGCAGCCTGCCTCCCGCCGGAGTTCAGCTTGCCCCCGCGGGTTCAGGGCCCTGGCCGCGGCCCACGGGCCTTTGCAGAACGGCGCCACTACTCCTTCCTGCACGGCC